CGAGGCTGCGGTGGCCGGAAGCGGCCACTGCACTCCAGTCTGGGCGACAAAGTGAGACTCTAACTCAAAACAAAAAACAAAAAAACAAAAAAACTCCCCATCCCTCCCCCAGCCCCTGGCACCCACTTTTCTACTTTCTGTCTCTATGAATTTGCATTTTATTTTATTTTATTTTATTTTGTTTTATTTTAATATTGGAGTCTCTCTCTGTCACCCAGACTGGAGAGCAGTGGCACACTCACAGCCACTGCAGCTTCGACCTGCTGGCCTCAGGCGATCCTCCCACCTCAGCCTTCCAAGTAACTGGAACTACAGGCACGCACCACCACGCCTGACTAATTTTTGATATATTGTAGAGATGCCAGGCTGGTCTTGAACCCATGGGCTCAGGTATTCCTCTCACCTCAGCCTCCCAAAGTGCTGGGATTACAGGCTGAGCCACCGAGCCCGGCCTATCTTTTTTTTTAAAGATGGGAGGTACAATTCAGGGTTTGGTATACAAATAGTCATTGTGTAGGTAAAGTTTGGGCCTTACTTTGGTCCCCACTTCACCTGGTTTGAGATCAGGTACTCTTATTGATGAGGTGTGCCTCCTGCCTTCCCTGGCAGTTTCCCACTACTGCCGATCCCTTTCTTAAAGTGTTATGATAATTGTTCAGGGTCCACTTATGAGTGAGAACATGTGGTACTCAGTTCTTTGTTTCTGTGCTAGAGCACTGAGTATTATGTACTCTAAGTCCATCCAAGTTGCTGTGAAGTTCATAGTTTTGTCCTTCTGCCTATTCTCATTTAAGTGGAATCACACAATATTTATCTTTTTGTGTGTGGGGGGGTTTTGTTTTGAGGGGATTTTTTGAGTCAGAGTCTTACTCTGTCCACCCAGGCTGGAGTGCAGTGACACATTCACGGCCACCACAGTCTCGACTGGCAGAGCTCAAACAATCCTTCAGCTTCAGCCTTTCAAGTAGAACTACAGGTGCATGCCACTGGGCCTGGTTGCTTTTTTTGATTTATTATAGAGACGAGTTCTCACCAAGTTGACCAGGCTGATCTCAAACCCCTGGGGTCAGGCAATCATCTCAACTCAATCTCCCAAAGTGCTGGGATTATAGGCGTGAGCCACCGTGCCCGGTCTTTATCTTTTTTTTTAAAGATGTGAGGTACAATTCAGTGTTTGGTATACAAATGGTCATTGTGTAGGTAAAGTTTGAGCCTCACTTTGGTACCCACTTCACCTGGTTTGAGATCAGGTACTCTTATTGATGAGGTGTGCCTCCTGCCTTCCTTGGCAGTTTCCCAGTACTGCCAATCCCTTTCTTTTTTTTCTTTTTTTTTTTTTTTTGT